CACTTTCCAGTCTAAAAATACTTTCAATAATTACATTTTGTCAGTAGGTTAAAACTCATTGTTTTTAACAAAACCCATGGGGCCCTCATTAATCTGGTCCCTGTCTCCTCTCCAGCTCCATTCCCTACCACTCTCTGCCTTAGACATCATTGGTATTTCTCCATAGAGGCTGCTGCTTCTCGACTCCGTGCCTTTGTACCAGCTTTTTTTGATATGCCTGTCTCCTTCCCCAATTGCTCAGCTAACTCTCAGCCTTTAAGACTCATCTTAGCTCCTCTAGCCTCTCTTCTCTGAATTTCAGCTTGTGTTAGGTGTTCTTCCTTGGTGCTTCTAAAATGCGCTTTGCAGACATGTGTAACCACACTTAGCATATTAGTGTGTAATTATCCGTGTTCATCCCTACTTCTAGACTGTGAAGTCTGAGGACAGAGACTATCTTACTTAGCTTTGTATTTCTGTTACCTATGAAGGGCCTAGCACTTGCTCAATATATATTGTTTGAATGAGTGAATAAATGAGGGGTTAGGGAAGGATCTTTGTATTAAGAAAGATGTTGTTTCCTCTTAAGAGGCTGCATGAAACAACACTGGGCCTGGACACAAGGAAGGTTGTATTTGGCAGGGAAAGATAAGTAACTTAATCTCTCTAGGCCTCAGTTTTCCCATTGATAAGATGAGTATGTTCAACAACATGATTCTATTCATCCTTCCAGGTTTAAAATATTGCCTTCCTCCTGGAGATATTTGGTAATATCTTGAGATATTGTGGTTGCCATATTAAGGAGATTGCTACTGGTGTCTGGTGGGTGGAGGCCAGGGATGCTGCTTAACATCCTACAATCCACAGAGCCAGCTCCCCACAAGAGAAAATTATCTGGCATCAAATGTGAAACCCTGCTTTCTTCATTTACTCTACCTTATCTTTCTTATCACTGACAGACATTGTATTATATAACTCTTGTTTTTACTGCCTCTCCTCCACAAGAACTTAAGCTCTATGTGCAAAGGCAGAAATTTTATTTGTTTTATTCATTCAGTAATTATGTGTTGAGTGAGTGAATAAATGACTGAATGGCAAAATATAACAATGCTTCTGAACGGTTCATTAAAAGTTGTGACATAGCTAATTTACACTTCTTTCATTTCTTATTGACAGGACAGGAGAACTGGGAAACTTGACAGCCCCTTGCAATGCCAATTGCAACTGTTTGCGCTCGTATTATTATCCTGTCTGTGGAGGAGATGGAGTCCAATATTTTTCTCCCTGCTTTGCAGGTTGTTTAAACTCAATTTCAGAAAGGAAACCAAAGGTAACTTATGTCTGCTGTTTTATTCTTAATGAGGCAATATATTTATGTATTTATGAATGTCCATCTTGATCCCTCTTCTGGAGTTATGCAATGCCTTTTTTTTCTTTTCTTCCTGCCTCACCTCCTCCATTAAGCAGCCCCTGCCCTCTCCAGCTGAAAAAGACTCTTCTTCCTTCACACCTCACGTAATTATTGTTCAAAAGTCAATTTGTTAGTTGCTCACATAACATCTTAGTAGCATCACTTCTGTTGCAGTAGTGAAATATCATTTACCTTTTTACACTGTGTTACAGTCATCCCTTGGTATACATGGGGAATTAGTTCCAGGACCCCCGCCCATACCAAAATCTCCCATACTAAAGTCCCGCAGTTGGCCTTGCAGAACCCACAATCTACAACCCATGTATATTAAAGGTCAGCTCTCTGTATAGACAGGTTTAACATGCTTCAGAAAGCTGTGTATTAAATGGACCCAGGCAGTTCAAACCCATGTTGTTCAAGGGTCAGCTGTATTTTTC